AAACCCACCAGCCACTCCTCGGAAGGAAGGTTGGGCAATCCTACTTCCGTAGTGATACTGCCTCGGAAACCCAAGGAGGGGTCGCTATGAGTCTGGGCCGACTCGATGGCAAACAACAACAACAACAACTGTTCACTGTAGAAGCTCTGGTGGTGTAGTGTTTAAAACATTTGTCTGCTAACCAAAAAGTTGGCAGTTCGAATGCATTAGCTTCTCTGTGGGAGAAAAATGTGGCAATCTGCTTCTGAAAATATTTACACCCTTGGAAGCCCCATAGGGCAGCTCTGTGTCCTATAGGGTCACTATGAGTTGGAATTGAGTTTACAGCAATGGGTTTGGCATTATTCACTGCATGATTATTATAGGATTGTACCTTTGGTTATAATAAAATATCATCTTTTGTTTAATGCCTTTTGCTTTAAATTCTTCTTTAGAAAATTAATATTGTTACATCTACTTTTGTAGAAAATTTCTGTTTTACAGTATTTGCCTGGTATGCCTTTACCTATGCTTTATTTTCCAATCTTTTTGTAACATTTTGGGTTAGGTATATTTCTCAATTGCTGGATTTTATTTTTAGATTAGGAATATTCATATTCATATTCATTATGATACCTTCTGTGTTTGGACTTATTCTTACCATTTTATTATGTTTTCTATTCATCATGCTTAAAAAAATTCTTGTATTGATATTTGCTCAAATGTTTACTACCTGTATCCCATTTCTGTTTTACTAGTGGTTTCCTCTAATTATTAACAAACATATTTATATTGATGTCAAGAATTAATGAGTGTCTAAGATGTGTTACCATCAACGATAATAATAGCTAACATTTATTGATTATTTATTATATGCCTGGCAATATTTTTAAGTTTTCTCACCTGTGTTAACTCAATAACTCCTCACAACCATTTTGTGAGAGAGGAGTTCCATTATTAAAGACCTCTTTCCTTGCAAATTAGGAAAACTGAAGAGCAGAGAAGGTAAGTAATTTTCCCAAAGGCATGTCACTGGTAAGTAATGGAGTCAGGATTCAAACTCAGGCACTGTGCCACTAGCACACTTTATTCTGATACACCCCATCTTCCATATTTTGTTGAAACATTCTGAAATTTTTGTTCTAGATTGTTGTAGTATCTCTTCTGTTTTAAGAAGTCTACCTGAAATTTAGGTGAAAACCACAAGTAGTTTTAGAACTTGACTTTATTTTATTGGTTTATCTGTTCTGAACTCTTTCTTGTTATCACATGATTTATTCTTCTTAGATTCATAGAATATGTATACAGAAATGATATTTTTCAGAAAGAGTGTGGAGATGGCATAATTTCTAAGTGAATTCCTGTCTGAAAAATGCCCTTATTTTGCCCTCATTTTATTGATGGATTGATTGGTACAGATTGTAGACATTGTAGATTATAGATGTTGTTTCACTGTTTTCTAATATTGAGCACTGGAAATGAGAAATCCTATACAAATTTTTATTTCTGGAAATTTAAAAGGTCTTATGATGCCAGCAAGGAGCTCTGGTGGTATAGTGCCTAAGGCATTTGACTGCTAACCAGAAGATTGGTGGTTCAAATCCACCAGCCACTCCGTGGAAGGAAGACTGAGCAACCTACTTCTATAAAGATTTACCACCACAGAAACCTAAAGGGGGTCACTAAAGGTTGGAATCGACTCGATGGCAGTAAATTTTTTTTTTCAATTATGCCATGTGCGCATGTGCGTTCATATATTTATTAATTCATGGAACATTTGAATCTGAACACTCAAATCTTTTTTCAGCTCAGGCAATTGCTGTTCTGCTGTTCTTTCTCTTTATCCTCTTTTTGGAACTTCTATTAATGTTTATCTGATAGTATCTATTTCTTTTTTCTCTATTTTCTCAGAGAATTCCATGACTTATTCTTTGTATTACCAGTTTTCAGCTGGTAATTTCTGAATTTTATCATTATGCTATTCAGCCTTCTTTTGACATTTTAAAATAGCCAAATATGTTATTCTCAGAATTTCTGAAAACTCCTTTCTAATTATAACTTGTTCTAATTGTATGAAGGCAATATTCCTTCAACCTTCTCTGAAGATCATAATTAACATTTTCATTTAATACTCTTGTTTCTTGCATTAATTCTTGTTTCCTGTGAGGTCAATTCATTTGCTCATTTGCTTTCATGCTATTTGTGCCTTACGACTCAGTTGATTATTCACATTTTAAATTAACTACTAGCTTCATCTGTAGTAGTAGTTTTTGTCAGGTTCTTGGTGATTATAAAAATTACTTAGGACCTTCGGTGGCATAGTGACTAAGACATTTGACTGCTAATGATAAGGCTGGCGGTTCAAACCCACCAGCCACTCCTCAGAAGGAATAATCTACATCCTTAGAGATACCAACTTGGAAACCCAAGGAGGGGTCACTATGAGTCGAATCAACTTGACAGCAGTGAGGTTTTTTTTTTTTTAAATAACAATCACTTACCTTCAAGGCCTCACTACACGGTTTGGTGGTGACTAGCAGATTTCTGAAGGAACCTGAACCCGCCTGCTACAGTGGAGGCAGAGGACTTTAGTATTTGCACTTCGGTTCTGAGAGGGCTTGATGGCCACTCTTTTTAAAATCTCAGATCAGTGTATGCTCCGATCTTCCTTTGAACATTGTCTTACTGCTTGCTCCAACTTCAAAATCCATATTAGAAGGCCCTTGCATCCTAGATAGCCTTTTAAAAACTGAAATACCCAGTCTCTTCAATGGAACAATAAAATAGGCAGTATCATACTCTCATATGAATCTCATGGGAGCTTCATGAAGATGAGACCTATGTCTGTTCTACTCAGTGCTCTGTTCACTGCACAGTGCCTAGAACACTGTAGGTGTACCATGAAGATTTAGTAAAGTGACACAGCTTTCTTGGAGACTAAAACTATGTATCTGCCTCAAGCCAGTAATTTCTAGAAATTTATCCTAAGGAAATACTTGGGTGTGCTCACAAAATTTTATGTACAAGGATGTTCATGCTATTTATAAATGTGAAAAATGAAATAGCTCAAAAGTCCAACAGTGGTTATCTAATATATTATATACATAGGCTGGATATTTAATAAAAATCATTTTTATTCATTTATCTTTCCAGAGGTACAATCTCCAGGGATCAGTAAAACTTATTTTACCTTAACCAAAGAATAGGTTAATAAGATGATTTTAAATTGTACTTTAAAAATTGCTGTTATTTTTTGTAGTATTGTCTAATCTTTTTTATTTTCTATTTATGCTCCTAAGAAGTTTATAGAGAATCAATTTTAAAAAATCAATTTTTTACGTCTGAGACCAAGTAAATGAAACTTATTTTTATATACTTATACTATAAAAGGCATTCAATAAATAGAGCGTATTTCTGTTTTATTGCAGAAAACAGCTCCTTGAAAATGGTGAGGTAAAGCTTTTATTTTAATCTCTGATAGATTTGTGTATTAGATTCTAGTTCAAGGATAATTCACAAAAGTATAACCTTGCTGCTGATATAATAACATCAGTAATGCTTGAGTTGTTTGGCATTGGTAATAAATTTCTGCTGATCCTTCTTACTCTTTAATCTCTTCTCAGTTTTGAATAGTCATAAGAATTTGAAAGCTTATATGACCATGAAATATAATTACACAGCCTTCATTCATTCACTCTTTCATTTATTGAACAATAACAGCATTTGCTTTCACAGTGTCCTAGCCCACTGAGCTAATTAATTATATACCATGAGATCAGATGTGTATGCCCTGTCACTGGTGAACTTATCCTACCACACTGACTTGGTAGTCAGTCAGTCATGAGCTTAGCCGTGTTAAAGGATGCAAGTCATGGTATAAAGTACTGTCCCTGCCTTCAAGTATGTATAATTTTATGAAAAAGTCATGAAATAAATATTGTGCTATACTGAATTATTTTGGAATTATTTCTTATTGTATATAAGAAAGGGAAAGATCAGTGTGGGCTGAAAATTCAGTTTCATAAGAGATGGAACTTTAAATGGGTCTTAAGGAAAAGGCAAAATGTATAAGAGGACAACTGAATTTGAACTTGGTATGAATAGCTCATGATAATAGTTAATGTTTTTTGAATAGCTACTATGTGCCTTGTACTGTATCATTTAATTTTCATATTATTCCCATTTTACAAATAAGGAAGTTATGTTAATTAGGTGATGCTAGCTGTTACAAAGATAAACACTTGTATTTCAATGACAACTCAGTGTAGCAAAGTTGAATTCTATGCTCACATAAATTTCAATCCAGGAGTGACTTGTTAGAGCAGGTGGCTCTCTAATAAGCAATGACTGAAAGACCTAGACTCTCTCCAGCTATGGCTTTGCCATCTTTCACATGTGGCTTCCAGGGTTGATGTGCTTGCCTGCATCAATTGAACAAAGAAGAAGGAACATGGAGGATCATGCATGGGAGGTTCTGTTAGGGCTAGGACTGGAAGACTACACATGACTTTCTGCTCACAGCCAGAGCTCAGCCACATGGCCATACCTAACTGCTGGGGCAGCTGGGAAATGTAGTCTAGCTTTGTGTCTAAGAAGAAGAACAAAAGCATCTCAGCCAAGAAATAGAGACCTAGAGAAATCAATTGACTTACCTAAAGTCTCAGAGCTAATTTGTAGTGAAGCTTGGATTTGAACACAAGCAGCCTATTTTCAGAGCTCTCAAGTATTAGCCAACACTTACTACTTAATCTGTGCCAGACATTTTTTTTTTTTTCTGAGTGATGTGTGTGTGTGTGTGTGTGTGTTATTACAACCCCTTGAGGTAGAGACTATTATTGTCTATATTTCACATATGAAGAAACTGTGATACAGAGAGATTAAGTAACTTGTCTAAGGATGGAAAGCTCTGTGGAACTAAGGAATGTGAGCTCAGGCAGTCTAACTGCAGAATGCATGCTTTTAACCATTCTACTATGCTATGATGGCCTCACTTAACTACTACCTAATGCACTAATAAGTAAAATTGTTTCTTATCTTTACTTACTAGCACACATTATAATTTACAAAAGATAAGAAATAGCAGAAGATGGGATTGAAAAAGAAAGCAAGATGCTGACTATGGAGGCTATGTATGCAAAGAATCTGGAGGTCATTCTGGACATTCTTATTAAGCAGGGGATAATAAGGGGCTCTAGTAGCATAGTGATTAAAGCATTCAGCTGCTAATCCCAAAGGTCAGCAGTTTAAACCCACCAGCCACTCTGTAGGAGAGAGATGAGGCAGTCTGTTTCCATAAAGATTTATAACCTTGGAAACCCTATTGGGAAGTTCTCCTCTGTTGGATAGGGTTGATATGAGTCAGAATCAACTCAATGACAGTGAGTAAGGTAGTATGATCAGATCTGAGTTTCACATATTTCAGATTTGTTGGCAATAAAGCAGTTTTTTTTTTTTTTTTCTTTAAGGCCAAGTACAAGCCAAGGAGACTTAAAGGAGGATAGTGATAGCAAATCTCTTCATCTTATCAGACTAAAGAGAATGGTAAACTGGATGTATAGCAAGTTTAGAGATTTAAATTTCTAAAACCAGTAGATTTTATGAAAGGGAATGATAAAAATTTCAGTTTAGTGCACTGGCTTCTTATCCAGCTCCCACTTTTGACTGTCATCTGATAAATCTTTCTTCTTATATGGTTTAGGAGATAAGACCTGTTTTCACTTTAAGCATAATGGTATGGAAGGAATAAAACTTAGATGGTGCTATTCATTTTTTGGATGTGATATAATAGTGAAAAACTATAAATTCCAGTTTGTTTCATGATTGGATGAGGGTTCATTAGTATAATTTTATCACTGAGGTGTGAATTCTAGTTTGCTTGACTTCTACTAATCCTCTGAATCAGGGACAACTTGATTTAAACAAAGCCCTGGGTTACTATGGCTGGGTAACTGGCATGATTATTAAAGGTGTAAGGTTAAATTTAGAATTCTGTTGTGATTTTTCCTCATAACTTAATGTATTTATCTGGTTTCACGTATTCCATAAAATTAGTAACTTTTGACCAATTTTTGCATTTTATGGATTTAGAAACTGGTGAAGGAGTACTTAGTAATTTATAAGAAAGAAAATGAAGAGAAAAAGTTATGAAAAATATTTTTGTCAGAATGCCACCATTTCTATAAGGAACTAGAGCCAAAAGGGGATGGGCTACATACCATTGAGAGTATTCACTCTTGACCCTTTGGACCCATTCATCGTTTTGTCCCTGATGGTCATTTTCATATGTCTTCACTTTTCGCTCTAATCTCTACAGCTTTTATTATTTGATCAGTTTATATTTGATCCTCTGTTATAAGTCACTTGAGTTTTTGTTTTGTATTGCAAAAAACATTTTCTATTAGTTATAGCCAAAGGGTTTCCTATGACATACTGCTGAAGGCATCTTAACCAATATGGAAATATCCTATTGAAGGAGTTAAGTGATATATAATTTAGGGGGAGAATGATTTCTTTTGAGAAACTGAATGAGCTATATATTTTTATGGTCTATATACTTCATAGGAGCTCTGGTAGCATAGTGCCTAAGGCACTTGACTGCTAACCAGAAGGCTGGCGGTTCAAACCCACCAGCCCTCCTAGGAAGGAAGGTTGGGCAATCCTACTTCTGTAGTGATACTGCCTCGGAAATCCAAGGAGGGGTCGCTATGAGTTGGGTCCGACTTGACGGCACATAGCAACAACAATATACTTCATATTAATAGCCTAATAGAGACTATGATGTGTTGGAAAGGAAATTATAGTGTAATGATTATAAAGGCATAGATTCAGGAGCTGAATCCAGGAGCTGGATTCAGATCCTAGTTCTACCATTTACTATGATGTTGACTAAGTTACATAACATATTTTGGGAAAAACCAATTACAATAATTCTTAGAATATTTTTTTTTTAATTTATTTCTGATAATAAAATTAACTTGTTTAAAAATTTGGAAAATGCAGAAAAATCTTCATTCAGAAGTGACCTCTGTTAACTTTTAGGTATATTGTCTTACATTCCCTGTTTTCCCTGTGTTTGTGTGTGTGTGTGTGTGTGTGTATCCACAGAACTGATACCATTGTTGATAGATAGAGTTTTATACCTTGAACACTTTTCTATGACATCAAATGATCTTCCAATATATGATCTATTTTTCTCAGCTATATGCCAGTGGAAAGCTATAATTTAATTACTTTTGCTCTTTATTGGGCACACAGATTTTCTATTTTTACTATTCAAAAAGGTGCTTTAAATGCAGAAGGTACTGCACCTCCACTGTCTCCACTCTTTGCATTGCTCAGCCCTGTTGTCTCCATGGTTGGCAGTGCATGCTCCTGCAGAGTGGGCACCATTCATTAACCATTATCACAGTTGTCAGTGCTTGCCACAACCATCTCCACAGTCAGTGGCACATGCTACCACAGAATGGGTGCCATGCTCTCACTGCAGCCATGTTTGGCAGCTAACACTTCTGCCAGTGTTGTACTACTCTTTTTTTTTTTTTTTTTTCTGTTTCTCTTTTTCTTTCTTCCCTCTACCCATCCCTTTCTTCTTCTTTTTTCCCCCTCATTCTCTTCTCTTCCCCTGCCCTCTTTTTTCTGCCATAAGTTGAGAATCAGCGACCCTATGCAGCCATATCTGCTATATCTGCCACCTTACTCCCTGGGAGAGTACCAACACCCACTCCAACACCAATGGTGACCAACAACCACATAGTCTGCCTTCAGCTGCTCTATGTGGCCAGTGAACAGACTGATGACCACACTCCCACTCACTACCAAATCTTCCCATAAACAGGTGGTGAGCATTCCAGTGCTTTCCAAATAATGTTAAGGGTAACACATCTGCCCCATTGCCAGGATATGTTATAACAAAAGAGAACAATAATATCAAAGTGAAGCAAACTAACATAAAATCAACAAATAACTATAATAGCATCATAATGTCTTGGCAGCTACAGACAATTTCAAATCACATACACACACACACACCAAAAAAAAAAAACAGGACAAGATGGCTCAAGCAAGGACCATAATGCAGGGCCAAAAAGTCTTCTAGGGGAATAAATAGTATTAGAACTACCTGATAAAGAATTAAAAAGAATTCTATTTAGGACACTTCAACAAATTTAAGAAAGAGACCAAAGAAAGAATAGAAAAAATCAAGAAAAACTTAGACAACATTTTAGAAAAATTCAGGAAAGCAGTGCAAACACAAACTGACTAAATAAAAGGAAAGTTAGAAACCATACAAACAGAGCAAATAGAAATCTAGAACACCAACACTAAAATTTTAGAAATAAGTGATGCATTGGAAATAAATAGATAATTAAAAAGAGTAGAATTGAATAAATGGATGACAGGGCTAGCAAAATTGAAGAAAAATCTCTTAATACTAATTGGTTAGAGAAACAATC